AAAGCAGTTGGACAATTGTTGCGTTATATGACTCATATATTACAAATACAACAACGTGACAAAGTCTATGGTTTTATAACAAATATTAACAGTATAAGATTTTATTGTGCTAAGTCGGACAATGATAAATCGATTGTTTATTATCAAAGTCAATACTTTCAAATGTTTGATGGTTTACCTAAAAGATCATCATCATCATCATTTTTTAATCAAATAAATACAAGTGCACCAACAAGATATTTTAATGAAACAGCACTGAAAATGTTTATAAGATTTTTAACAATGGATACGAACTTTTATGGATACACAACATTAAATATAAATATTGATGATTATTTATATGATGATATATTTCATATTAAAATGGTATTAGGAAATGGTGCAACTTCATTCGTTTATTTATTAGCAAATAATAATAAATTAATTAATAAACCAATATGTTCGATAATAAAAATTTCTAAACATGATAAATATTCAAAATATTTTATCAATGAAGTTAAAATATTAGAAAAATTAAAAACTTCAAATAATTCAAATAAATTTGATTTATTTTTTGAAAATATTTTCAGTTATTCACCTACAGGTAAAATTTGTTTATTAAAAAAAAAAGTTTTTAATGTTTTCAATAATTTAAAAGCCTATTGAAAAATAAAATCGTGAAAATTTTGTTTGATTTTTGAAGAATTTAGAAAAATATAAGGAAATAGAAGATTTAATTAGAAACTAATTTTATAGAAATTATTCTTTTTTTTTTTCAATAGTATTTTTTCTTTTTCAATGAAATTTACAAATAAAGAATTATTCATCATTATAAATAAATAACTAAAAGATTGATTTTATCTTAAGAAAATAAATCGAATAAAATATATTCTTATAATATAAACTGGAAAAAAAATATTTAAATTCTTTTATTAATTGATGAATTTTTCTTTTTTCAGATCCTGTTTTTTTCTTAATAAAACAAAAAAAAAGAAGAAAACAGTATTACATACGTTTACTTTTATCTTTATATTGAAATAAATATAAGAGTTCGATTGAAAAGAGATTCCAATTAAACTTTTTATTTAATATAAATATACTAGCGAGAACCTATGCATACTGCGCGCTCGTTTTTTTTCTTCTAACATCTGTCCTCAAACCCTTAATCGTTCACTCAGTAACACAGATACACACACTCAATATGATGTACAGAAAAGTCCTACAACATACCCTTCCATAGCTTTAGCCCTCTATATCCTTACCCCTTATAGTCCTAAGCCTCTACAGTCTTACCCTTTTATAACTTTACTTCCTTGATAGTCCATCCCTCTATAGCCTTACCTAGTTATAGTCCTACCCCTCTGTAATTTTATCCCTTTAGAGCTTTAATTCGTTGTAGCCTTACCCTTCTGTAGCCTTACTCCACTTACAGTCCATGCCTCCATAGCCTTACCCCATATAGCGTTACCCGCCTATACTCTTATTCAACCTTTATCCATTGACCTGACACAGGTAGACACTGAACATTATATACATAGATAAAATTTTTTTTTTTTTATCAATATATACATATATATAAGTTCTCTAGGAATTCACTAAACAAAAAAAAAACTTCAATATTTTCATAATTCTTCCACAAAATGAGCTCATTTTCTTTAAGAGTAGAGAATAGATCTAAGGTTTTATTCATGAATAGATATATCATCGATAATGCATAGAACTAATTTTTTTTTCTTCATTATATCACTATTCAACTTTTATTTCAATTAATGTACTATCCGAAAACAACTTTATTATTTTTATTTTATGTTAATAACTAACTCAATTCATTATTTAACTTTGATTTTGTTAAAGAATCAACAATGATTTATTATACATCTGCCATACTATTTCATAAACAAATAAAAAAATATTTTACACTTTTCGACTATAGTTATCAACTACAAACATTTAATTATTATTTAACTATATAGGAGCCATTGCATGATGGAGACGAGCCAAAAGTGAACTATGTGCTCAATTGATCTGACAGATTTCAATGAAAATTTTTCTGTATATAATCGTCAAATAAAATATGAAAATACTTTAAATTTCATTTGCTAAAATCGTTCTCTTGTAGCGATATTCAAATAGGAAACGACACATCCTAAAGTCAAATATGAAGGTATCCAATTTGATATCCATACATTCTATATTTCGCCAATTTTTTAACAATAAGATTTTTAATGATGAAATTTTGTGCATATATACTACCATTGAGATCCAACATATTGATACACTAAAAATCATATTTCGCCGTATTAGACAATATAGAGAGTTTTCATAGTTCCTAGATATAATAGTCTCTGCCTTGTGATGACGATTTCTATCGGTTATGACCGATCTATGAGCTTCCACTTTGGAATAAACTACTACTGACTGTCAACTATCAGCAGCAATTTTCAAAGCTTTGGCCTTTTGAATTTGATCCGAGCAAAGATCTCTTCGAATACATTATGGTTTTGAGTGTATCAATATGTTGGATCTCAATGGCAGTATATATGCACAAAATTTCATCATTAAAAATCTTATTGTTGAAAAATTGGCGAAATATAGAATGTATGGATATCAAATTGGATACCTTCATATTTGACTTTAGGATGTCTCGTTTCCTATTTGAATATCGCTACAAGAGAACGATTTGAGCAGATAAAATTTAAAGTATTTTCATATCTTATTTGACGATTATATATAGGCAAAGTTTCATTGAAATCTGTCAGATCAATTGAGCACGATTGGTCATGAATATCATGTGATGACTTATACGGAAAGAAAATTTTTCTAGTTTTATATATATATCAATGAATTGTTCCATCATGAATAAAAGCTTTAATCTGTCTTTTACTCATAGAAAAAAAAATGATCAAATTGTTTCATTGAATAATAATAAAAATATTTATTGTCTAATGAATTCTTGAACATCTTATTTACATATAAAGAAAGATATTGATGAGCAAAATATGAAATAGATAGAATGATTATTTATAAGATTATTGTTAAAAAATAGAAGAAAATAAAAAAATTTTTTGATCAAAGATAGAAAACAAAAAACAAGTCTCATCGGATCATTTGGAAATTTAACCCTCGGATGGGCAAACTAATTCTTGGAGATAATATTAGAACATCTATTCGTATTCTATGATTTTGATTGATGAACCAGTATTCTTGCCGATATTAAATTAAAGGGCGGATATATATACTAGAGATCCTGAGATAATAATAATCTTCTCGAAGATTCTGGACAAGAATATTGAAAATAGATCAGATGTTAGGTCATGTACAAAAGGAATGCAAGAGAGAAAGGATATGCATGAAATGTAAAGTAAACAGAAAAGGAAAAAGAGAAATGCACTAGAAGAAATCAAAAATAGATTGTGGAAATAGATGCGTTTCATCGATGAATATCAACAGAACACAAGAGAAGAAAGATCTATGATTGTTATATGGTACTGTTCACAATGACGCTGTGATAATAATAATATCAAAAGAAAAGAGAAAACATTCTCATAACCTGATTGAGATAGATATATTTAAAAATAGTTAAAATACCGAGATATTTTTCTTGAATGTCTATTTCATATTCTAGGCTTCAGATGGACTCCGCTTGGCCATCCGACAGTTAATTAACCAATAAAATAGGAAATTATTCATTTTTAATATAACAAAAAAATATGGAAATTCTATTAAATAAGGTTCTAAGAAATTAGAACAACTATGGAAGATTTATTTTAGAATTGAATATGATTTTTTTTGTTATCTATTTGAAGTAAAACTAAAATAAGTAAAAATGTTTTATTTGTAATTTAACTAATATATTCTGAAAAAGTCATTGCTAATGTATATCCTAGTTACGTGTAAATAAGCATCTGATAGATTTTCTTTCCATAGATTTCGTTTATAATTTCGAGTATGTTTTACAATTGAAAATCAATTTGAATAATATTTTCAAGAAAATTTTTAAAATTATTGACAATGAATAGATGTAGAAAAATCTTTATAGTTCTATTCAATATAAAAATAGTTTAGTTTCTTTCTAACATATGTATTTATTATTTTATTTTATAATTTAATTTCTATTATATTTTAACATCTAACATAGAAAATGATTTATTAATTAATTATTCTTATTAATAAAAATATTCATCTTAAAATAAGTTTAATCTTTTTGTAAACTGAATATATTTCATAATATACTATATTAATCTGGCATGTAAACAGTCATTTGAAAAAAAACGGAAGATTCAGGATGATTTTCGAAATGTTTTTTTTTTCGAAGTATAGCTTTCGAAAAAGGAGGACATAACATTTTCCTGTAAGAAAGACGTTCTCATAGTTCAAACGCATGAACACGTCTATTTATGACGAACCAAGAAAATTACTTAGACTTTCAACGTTCTATAGTTGCCTTATTATCTCATAGAAGTTAAACTGAACAGTTATCTGTGTCTAGGAAATAATTCTCCCAATCATAGAGGCCTCTAGAAGATGTCATAATTTACTTTGAAAAGAAACGGTATTCGCTTGTTGTTGAGTCACTTATCCAACAAATGTATACAAAAAAAAATGAAGCTTAGATAATCATTTTCAGTGTTTTTATAATCAATTCATTAAGAAGTTCAGATCAGTTTCATACTAAAACTAATATGATTTAGCAGTTCATAAGAAGATGTTTCCTTTTAGATATGAACCAAAAATGTTTAAAAAAAAACTTTTTAATATCGTTTCATGTATATTTTTCGAGTAAAGTGTAGAGAAGCTATTTTTCGTCAGAAAGAGACTAACATAAAATAATTTGGTATGTGTCGTTAAAAAATATTTTTAAATCATGCCATGATGAAAAGGAGACATATTTCTTGTTAAATTGTTAAATTTACATGAATTATTAGAAGAGAAATGCGACTGTACTCACCTTTATTTTCGTTTGTTACTTAGGCCAAGCATTAGTTGAAAACTTCAACATGATTTTTCTAAAAGATCCAATAAACTCATACGAACAGTGCCACTCATGAAAAATAGATCAATGTTCTTATCAAAAAGATGTTAAAATCTATAACAGAATGTAATAAGTAACCCAACACAAAATTCATCGAAACATCAATTAAAAGTGGTCTCAAAACGAAAAATTTCATAGAATTTTATTCTTAGAAGTCTTTTTTTCTACTAGCAAATAGCTATTGGCAAAGCATTTAGGTGTATTTTGAGAGTGACTATATTATTGCTAAGTATGTATGAAAGATATTTTTCTCTAATTGTTATTTGGATAAGCATAAATTTGGTAGAAAGAAAAAATGGCGAAATTAAAAAATGTTCAAAGCAAAACTATCTCAACGTGCCATTAATGCAGCTTCAGCACAAACTATTCATGTATAAGTGAAAGATATAGATGTTGCTGCAGATTATTCATGCAGTGTTAGTGAATCGATTAATTGAAGCTGTATTAATAGCACTTGAGATATTTTTTCTTTGAACATTTCCTATTCTCGACGGTTTTTCTTTCTACCAAATTTATGCCATTCGTTATTTGTTTCTCCCAAGAAACAGATCGTTATCGACTACCATTCATCGAACATTACTTTATTTTCTCTTTACTAATCCCTTTCATAAAGCACTTCTTTCTTAACTATAACATATATCAATGTACTACATCGTCATAATCATCTGACAAAAGAAACATCTGCGTAAACGAAGAACATTTATACGAAGTATCATAAGGCACACAACGGTTCTTATTTGATGCAAGGCTGATGATTAGATCTCTTACCGAAATAGTTCTTTACCGAAGTCTATCGTTTGATCAGAGTCTATTCTTCATTACACCAGAAATAGATATCATGAAAAGTGACAATTATGCCAGATAGTTCGTACAGAATTTTATCTTGACGGATGTTGAAACTATTCAATTTCACAGTGACAAGAGTAAAAAGAAGGAAAAAGAGAAGTTGCGCATGAAAAGGAGGAGAACAAGATATTTTGAAAAAAGGAGGAAAAGGAGGAGCATTTATCAGGCAGATATTAATTTCGATGATAATTTAATTTATTTTTTATTTTTTTCGAAAAGTAATTTTATTTAAGATTGAATATATTTATTTAATAGCAATTCAAATAATATTTTCATCTTATTTATTATTTTTTTTTCAGGTAAATTTATATTTTTTGAAAAGCGCTTAATCAAGTTGGAATCATTAACATTAATTCAGTCAAAACAACTTATTAATGGTATTGAATATTTATATGATTGTCATATAATACATCGTGATATACGTCCAACAAACATAATGTGTGATTTTGATAATAAACAAATAAAATTAGTTGATTTTGGTTTTGCAACAATATTTGACAACAATGAAAAAACAAAAAAGTTACCTATTGAAGGAGCAATTTCATTTGGTAACCTAAAATTACTGAAGTTTTGTTCTGAATTACCATTGGATTCATCAATTGATATACATTATGAATATGAACGAACATTTGATCTTTATTGTGCATTAAATGTCATTATCATTATGTCAGATAAATATATATATGATCAATTCTATGCAATTAAACAAAAACAACTACCAACTTATCAAAATGGAATGTTAAATATATATAATTTTTGGTTGAATTTAAAAGAGAAAAATAATGTTTATTCGAAATTATTAGAATCAATGGACAATTTCAAAGAATCATCATATTTTAATAGAATTATGAATGATTTAGAAAAACTTCCTATATTTAACAATTAAAATCATCTTTACAATTCAATGCATATTCATATTATTAATAAAAACTTACAAATAATTTCTTATTGAACATTTTTTCTTTATTTTTTTGTTCTGGTTAAAGTTAATTGTCATGGAAATGATTAATAGAGTAGAAAAAAAAAAAGATGATTTATTACATTTATCTATTTAATATGATATTCTATTTTCAAACATTTATATATTCAATATCAATATTGATATAAAAAAGAAAAGTTTTTACATAAAACAAATGACATTATCGAAATAAATCTCCTTTTAAAAAATATAAATAAATGAAATATTAAATATTTCATTTAGAAAAAATTAATAATAATTTTATTTAACGTAGAATAATAGATAGAAGAATAGAATATTTAAGAGACGGTCCACGACTCAATCGACCATTTTTCACATAGGGTGTCACACAAAAAATGTTGACCCTCCCCTCCCCTCCCCCGTTTTTTATTATTGCAAATGAAAGAGCATATTGAAAAAGCTCGAAATCGAAAATTTTAGCCTTTGTTGATTGACCTTTGAATAGATACGAAAGAAACTCGAAAATTTCTCGACAAAGCTCAAAAATGCTTTTTTTTTGCTTCTCAGTAAGTGATTATTTTTTTTTTTGTTAAGAGCCTATCGATTTCAATCGAATAATATCTCAAAAGATAGCAAGTTTCGCTCTACAAAACTCTATATTTAGGTCTTCTTCAAATCCTATTTTAATATGGTTTTGGGGTCAAAAACTTCAGAAGAAAGCCAAAAAAAACACGTGAAAACTTTGCACCGTCTTTTAGTGTTTTTATAGAAAAAATAAATGTGGAAACCTCGGATTTAAATCCGAGAGTTATGTGTACTTCAAAAAGTGAATTAGACAGATGAGTCATCCTAGAACGTGTGGACATCAAAATGGTCACGTGAAGTGAGCTTAAGTTGGAGTAAGCATAAGTCGGAGTGAGCATAAGTCGAGTACATTAGTCCGTAGTATATCCATTTTCTATACATAATACCAAAATTTATTAGTAGCTGTCCTTAGTTGTCGATGAAAAATTTCGAAAATTTGCGATGATTTCTTCATCATCTAATGGTTCATTATAAATCAAGAGGACTATTATTTGGAGCTACTTTGTGAAAACAGAGTTGTATGGTACTTGTTTCAGCTAATAATTTTTTTATTAAGAATAATACATTTAATCCTGTGTCTTTATAATGACATTTCTATCTTGATTCTTTTTCAATTTGACGTTCATTCAATTTCTTGAAACTTTTCTAAGAGAAAACCGAAATCTTATCTAATAAGATGCACTTTTTCTTTTTTTTACTACAGAAAGGGGATATTCTTTAAAAGAAGAGATGAAAAATTAAATCTTTTAAAAATAACGTAAAACATTTCTGTGTAGATTGTATATTGCAGAAGTATCATTTCTTTAAAGCAACTAAAAAAATATTTTGTTGGGCTTTTCTGCATATGACAATTTGTGATTTGTGTGAGACTTTTTCCACTTGATTAGAAAAAGAATGGGTTTTTAGAGAATATATACTCTTGGTTTCATCGAGAATTAGATTTTGCTAGTGTTATTTTAACTTTCTTTCGTTATTCGTTATGTCCAGAATCAGCGTAAGCTTTTTTATTTTTTTTCGAACTTTGATCACATTTTATCCATATTGAACTCTTCATATTTCTATATTGAATATGACATACTCTACTATTTTTACTTTCCATTTATAAAATAGATGAATAGCTACTTATTTATTTGTGCTTTTTTCACAAAAAAAAGACAATAAAATAAGACTAAGAAAAGAAGAAGATGCAGAACTGTGATTGATTCTCAATAAAAGAAGTAAGATATGTTCTATATGTTCATAGATGTGATCATTCTATCAAGAAGCAGAGAAGAAAAAATGCGCGCAGGTGTATCTTGAAAAAAATGAAGCGAAAAAAAGATGAAATGATCAAGAATATAAATCAAAAAGTACATGTTTGGAAATAAAAGACTTTGCAGAGCTGAGTCAGTTGATCTGTTTTTTTGAGTAGAATTGAGTTCAAGTTATTTCATAGTGATTTAGAGTTGAATCAAGCTATTTTTGTGACGTTTTCGTTTTTTATTTATCTTTATAAAGAATATCAAGAACAATTTTTCATAGCATGATATCTGGTTCCTAGTTTTTATACACAGAAAAAAAAAGAGAAGCCAGGCTTAAAATACCATGACTCAGCTACTCTAAATTTGTATATTAACCGAAATGGTTGTTATTAAACGATGTATTCTATACAAACGATTATATTATAGGGTGATAAAGAATATGACAGTACGATGCAATCCAAGGCGTTCATTTATTTTATTATATCCACGTATATGCCTCTCAAGAGGAGCCGAAATAAAACAGATCGAGGAAAAACATATATATATTCAATAATACGCATAAGCTGTCATTTACGACTATATGAATACATAAATCGAAAGAATTCTTTAAATCTTTCGATTCTAATCTATTCAACTAGAACGAAAGTCATGAGTGAATGAGAATTTTATCTTATAAATCGTGATTTTTTTAAAGGAGTAAATGAAAATTAATTTTGAATAAATGCCTCAAAACAAACACTTAAATCAACATTACCTGATTTTTGAGTTTGAGTCAAGTTAGAGTCTTTAAAAAAACAGTGACTCAAGTCCATTCGAGCCCGAGCATGACTCGAACTCGACCAACTCTGAGACTTTGAAGCATTTTTCCTATAGCAAAAGCTGAATTAGATTTGTTTTTTTAGAAACATATTTTTGCTCAGGATGAATTCGATGAAATATCATGATTAACTAATGTTTCATCAGTCATTGAGAATCGATCAATGAAAAAAACTAGAACATCCAACATCTTTTTTTGTCAGCTATACAATTCGATTTTATCTGAATTATGATTGTGTTGGTCTAATGACTTTCGACTAAACATATTATTTCAGGCCAGAAATTTCAACAAATCTTTCATTTAGAAGTATATGTCAAACAAA